TGGGATTCTCTCTCTCCCTCTCTCTGCCCCTCCCCTGCTTGTGTGTGTTTTCTCTCTCTCTTTCTCTCTCAAAATAAGTAAATAAACTTTAAAAAAGTTAACATTTATTATAGAAATGGAGAAGATTTTTTTTTTTTTTTATAAATGAACAAGGAATATCAGTGTTAGAATTCAAGTCATGCTGTTGTCTAATGAAGAGTGTAAATATGGATACACAACTCAACTTCAATTTTTTCTTCTTTAAAATGGGAAGAATTATTTATCAAGCACAGTGTGAGCACATAGAGATGGAGATAGAGATGATGTACATAGCACCAAGCTCAATCTCCATAACATAACAGTTTCTAGGTAAATTTGACTTGAGTCTGTAGCATGATGGCAAATTTAATAAAAAGAGAAAAAAAATTAAAAGCTTCTTGTAAATTCCTAACTATTGAGGGATGCTTGGGTGGCTCACTCAGTTAAGCGCGTCTGACTTTGGGTTGGGACATGATCTTGCAGTTCGTGAGTTTGAGCCCCATGTCAGGCTATGTGCTGACAGCTCAGAGCCTGGAGTCTGCTTCAGATTCTGCCTCCCTCTCTCTGTGCCCTCCCCCACTCACACTCTGTCTTTGTTTCTCTCTCTCAAAAATAAACATAAAAAAAATTAAACTCCTAACTACTGAATTCAGAATTGATATGTTTTGTAAAATTATTATAAGTTGATACTTTGGCCAAACAGGGGGGAAATTCCCATTACAAGGAAACTGGCATGCTGCTCCTTGAAATAATGCGTGATCTAATATCAATTGCACAAAATGACACAGCATTCTGATTTATATATTAACATTATGTGTATCTCAGTGGTTCCTTATCTGAGTTCTAGTTGTACTTTGTCTCTCTGGGGTAGTCAAATGCTATATAATCAGAGGGACTCACCAAAGCATGTATCTAAGGGATTGAAAACCAAAAATGCACATTTTGAATTACCTAAGTAGCTTCCAAAATTTGCTTCTGTCCCACTCCTTTTAGTCATTGCTGTACTATAATTTCCTTCATATCACAAACTCTATATACACATCTTCAACACCCATGACCATCAGGCTGCCAAATCCTGGTCAGGGCAATGGCTTTTGCTGCCTTCATACTCTTGCTGAGCAAATGAGCTACATTCCCCAGCTGCTTAGCAAACACTGTTCACATGCAGGGAGGGGAGGGCCTGGGCAGAAGGAGCCAGCTGGCAAACACCCTGCCAAGGGGCAGCTTCCCTTTGCCTCTGCCTTTAATTAAGAGATGGCAATGGGCCCATCACCATGCAGGAGCAGAGAGGCCCAATGACCTCTATTAGAGCAGGGCAATCGCAGGCAGAAATGCCAGCTGGCAAATGCATGAGCCCTGGAAAGCTCTGCCACCTGTGTCTGGACAAGAGCCATCCAATAAAACGGTGGTGTCATTCTGAAGGTTCAAAATGAGCTCTGGAAACCTATAAGCACCCCCACCTCAATACATGCTATAAAAACTCATTATCCTTTTTTTTCCTTCTGAAAGTGTTAAAAAAAAAACCTTTCATGTGTTTTATTAGTATGCTCAATAATTTTGCTTGGCAAAAATTTCTGGGAATTAATATTTTCACTGTAAAAATGAAAACACTGACCAAAAGAAATTAATGACTTCCCCCAAATAACATATTATATAAAGGTTTCACTGCTTGTAACGGATGTAAGTGGGCAACTTTCTATTCATTTACTGAAACTACGTACAGAAATGTTTTTCCCAAATTATTTTTTCTTACATTGAGTTATGCAGATAATAGGATGTATTAATACAGCATTAAATATAAAATATTAAGCACAGAACTAAGTTTTCATGAAATAAGTATATTTAAAAAAATTGAACTTTCAAGAAAATAATGCCACATGTATAAAATTCATTAGAAGGAATATTAAGAGAAAGACTCCCCCACCACTTGGTTGAGAAACTTTTCTTTTTTAATGGAAGCAGTAGCTTACAGAAAAAAAAAAGATAAATCCTTGCATTTATTGAGTATTACATATATGAGACTTATGTATATGCTGAGGAGTAATAGTGAAAACAATGAACGATTACTCATAAGGGGGTAAAATAGGATAATATCATTAGAAACAATAAAGAAAATCAAACCTTGGTCCAACTAGTTGCTTCAGGGGAAGAAAAACTATAAAGAAAAATAACTCCCTGTCAAAGTTTAGTCCTCTTGCTGTCGAACTTTATTTCATCTAAGATGTATATTCAAATAAAGAGTTTTGGTGCACTGCTATTTTTCTCTGATTTTTTTTGATACTCCCTTTTATTTATCTAGTTTTTTTTAAAGAAGGCTCTATGCCCAATGTGGGGCTTGAACTCATGACCCCAAGATCAAGGATGGCATGCTCCACTGGCTGAGTCAGCCAGCGCCCCTGGGGCATATTTATTTTTAAATGTCATTATGCATTTCAACTTTTTAAAAAATAAAGTTCATTTACAATAAATATTTAGAAACTTAAAATATTTACAAAATATTCAGTCTACATATTCAGCTTTGTGTTAGTATACCATATTAAAATTTACCAAAAAAAAGTAAATAAGGAATGTAAACCTTAATTTAACAAATTATTTTTGGATACAGCATGCATTTAAATTGTAGACCTCTAGAATTTACAATGCAATTTGGAGTACTACTCCCAGAAAATCAAGAATCAGTGAGGATTATTAATGTAACCACATTTTCCTTGATTTACCTGCTTATTTTTTATAACAAATAGTATAAATGAGATCCCAACACAATATTTTTTAAAATTTTATTTTTGATAATCTCTCCACCTACTGTGGGGCTTGAGCTCACAAACTCAAGATCAAAAGTCACATGTTCCATCAACTGAGCCAGCCAGGTGCCCCTATCCCAACATAATTTTGTCTCATGGGTATTCGAGGATATGTTTTTTATGAAATAGAAGTATCTTCATTTATGGTCTCTAATGATCGAATAGTCATTTGTAATGCTACCAGCAAGTCATTCCTAGAAGGATGACTACTTCAAAAGTAATAATTAACAGTTTATTCACCTATTTAGAAAATCAATATAAGAACATTTTATAGGCATTCAAAACCTAGAAAGAATGTGTAGACAGCCCCTTTGTACCCCACTACTGTTTTTACCCTCTGTCATTATCTTTTGGTAATTGTTAAATCAGTGAGTGAAATAAGCAATTAAAAAAAATCTCTATGGGGCACCTGGGTGGCTCAGTGGGTTGGGCCTCTGACTTTGGTTCAGGTCATGATCTCATGGTTCGTGGGTTCCAGCCTGGCATTGGGCTCTGTGCTGACAGCTCAGAGCCTGGAGCCTGCTTCAGATTCTGTGTCCCCCTCTCTCTCTGCCCCTCCCCCACTCACGCTCTGTCTCTCTCTCCAAAATAAATAAACATTACAATTTTTTTAAAAAAAATCTGTATAATGCTAGGCATTAATTTAACATATTTCAACGTATTTACCTATACTCTTCCTTCTACACATGTACACAGAATGTTGAATTTTTAAGTAACTTTCATTAATAGAATATAAGTACTTTTTCTGATATTTTTGCATTAATACTAGGAAACCACTTATTCCCTCTCTCTTTTCCGATGTCCTAGCCTGGACAATTTCTGTGGCATTGCAAAGTAAGTTTTTAACTTCTTCCTACCTTCTGCACTATCCCTCTAAGAGAAGGAGTAATGGCTCCATGAGGTTAAGGAAAGCAAATTGAGCAGGTGTGGCTGAGTCATTTCTTTTTCTTTTGGGATCTGCTTCTCTGCATATGTTTCTAATCTTTTCTACTCCTACCTACATAGGATACATACTCTCAGTCAGAGTTTCCTACCCATCAGTGGTAGTCTGGATTGAGCACACTTCTATATCTCCTCTACTAGAAGCCATGTTGTTTTAAGGAATGTTTGCTATTCAGATCCAGACTTATTAAAAAATCAAAGTAAAATGGGGGGTGGGAAGTGTAGGAAGACCCCTGGTGACTACATATCCAAGCTATATACTAGAGTTCTGCTTTAGAAATTTAAGTTCACCTTTATATTCCATCTGTACTATTTCTTTATCAATAGCTCACTTGGTTGTGAATTCAGGAAAGAGGAAGAGGGATAACTATTGCCTTTAGATCTCACAACTATTATGTCAAAACATGCAAGAGTGGGCCTAAGGAAAAAAGAAATTGAGAAAATGTAGAGAATGTGAGGCATACAATTCTGATTTTGTGCCCTCAAATTTTAAAATAAAGTTTACAATACAGTATTAGATTTTTGATATGGATTTTAAAATTATATTTTATATTCATATCTTATCTACCCATATCTCCTTAAGAGCATAGGTATTATGCAGCATTAATGGCCATAACCATATGTGTTTTTCCCTGTCGTACATGGCAGTCACTGGTGAAGGTCAAGAACTTAAGTGCAACACCTCAAAATGTCCCATGACTTCATTTTTTAATACTGTGAAACCTAGTTAAGCTTATTAGACTCTATGGCAGTAGTGTGCAGCATAAACTATTCGGCATTAATGGAATACAAATAGAATGCTCCCTATACACGTCTAGCCTCCATAATCATGTCATTGATCTACACACAAAATTGCAACATACATTTCTAAAAATTGGATAATTGCAGTTGCTAAAGTGAAACAAAGAAGGAGGAGAAGGAGAAGGAGAGGAAGGGAAGGGGAAGAAGGGGGGGAGAGGGAGGGTGAAGAGAATGAAGAGGAGAAGGAGGAAAGGAGGAGAAGAAGAAAGGATATTCTTTATTCTATTAGTCTCACCTTCTCAAAATATTTAATTTCATACTCCAGGATGATTCCATTGGGACGATCTGGCTCTTGCCAAGACAAAGAGATACTGTTTTTTGCAATCTTCCCCTTTTTCACATTGGTGACTGGAGAGGGGGCTGCAAAATAGTATAAATAAAGAATTGCATGATTAACAGAGTCCTGAAATTACAAGGTGGTATAATTATAATGGCATTCTTAGTATATAATATAATTATATATTAACAATTTAGCAAAAAACTGAATAAAAAATTAAATTTTCTTTCAACCTGAAAACAATTTTACTTTCTCTGTGTAATAAAAATGTTTATAGACTGTAAAGTGTGTTACAAATATAAATCAAGTATCTTGAGAATTTTTTTAAAACTATAGTCATATAGAATCCTACATCTACATTTTTTTCTTTGAAGTTTAGAAACATAAATGAACTATCTTACTCTCCTTATGGAATAAAGATGTTTTTGATGACCTTATATATCTTCCATGTTTCTAAAATGTATTGACTCATATAATATATCCCATTAAGCTAGTACACATGATTATCTATATTACCATATTTTCACAACATTAAGATTCTTTTATAATTTTATAATGATATGGGTCCTATAATCCTTGATAAAATCATATCCTAAATATAGTGAGGGTTGCCTTCAAACATGTTATTAAACTTGTAATATTTCTCGAAAACAATAGCAGAAAAAAATCTGATCTGAAAGATTTTCCTCTAAAGTAAGGAGCAAGAAAATGATGACCATTCCTACAACTTTTACTAAATATAATATTAGAAGTTATAACCCCAGCAATTAGGCAAGAAAAGGGAATAAAAGACATCCAAATTGGAAAATAAGTAAAAGTGTCACTATTTGCAGATGACATGATACTTACTATATATAGAAAAAGCTAAAGACTCTACCAAAAATGCTATCAAAACTAAAATTAATTTAGTCAAGTTCCAGGATATAAAATGAATACACAGAAATCTATTGTGTTTCTATACACTAATAATGAACTACCAGAAAGAGAAATTAAGAGATCATAGCTACAATGACATTAAAAAAGATAAAATACCAAAGAATAAAATTAATCAAAGAGGTGAAAGGTCTGTATAAGACACTGAAGAAAGAAACTGAGGACAACACAAATAAATGGAACGATATGCTGCACTCATGGACTGGAGGAATTAATTTTGTTAAAATGTCCACACTACCTATAGCAATCTACAGATTCAGTGCAATCCCTATCAAAACATGAATGACATTTTTCATAGAATTATAACAAATAATCCTAAAATGCATACAGAATCACAAAACACACCAAATAGCCAAAGCAATAACAAAACCGGGTGTATCATACTTCTTGATTTCAAACTACACTACAAAGATACAGTAATCAAAATGGTATGATACTGGAACAAAAACAGAAATATAAATCTATGGAACAGAACAGAAAGTCTGGATATGAATATACACATATATGGCCAATTAATTTATGACACGTGAAGAAAGAACATACAATGGGAATGGATAGTCTTTTCAATAAACCAAGTGAAAGGATGAAACTGGACTATTATCTTGCACCATACCCAAAAATTAACTAAAAATGCATTAAAGACATGAATATAAGATTTGAAACTATAAAACTCCTAGAAAAACATAGACATTATTCTTAGTGATTTTTTTAAGATATTTTTACCTCCTCAGGAAAAAGCATAAAAGCAAAATTTTTAAATTTTTTAAAATGTTTATTTATTTTTGAGAAAGAGAGAGAGAGAGAGAGACAGAGCAAAGTAAGGTGAGGGGCAGGGAGAGAGGGAGACACAGAATCCGAAGCAGGCTCCAGGCTCTGAGCTGTCAGCACAGAGCCCTACACAGGGCTCAAACTCATGAACTGTGAGATCATGACCTGAGCTGAAGTCAGATGCTAAACTGAGTGAGCCACCCAGGCACCCTGAAAAGCAAACTTTAAAAAAAATAATGGGATTTTGAGGCCTCTGGGTGTCTCAGTTAGTTAAGAGTCCGACTCTTGATCTCAGGTCAGGTCATGATCTCATGGTAAATGGGTTCGAGCTCTGCATCCACCTGTGCACTGATAGTGGAGAGCATGATTGAGATTCTGTCTCCCTCTCTCTGCCCCTTCTCCCCACCCCTGTCTCTCAAAATAAATAAGTAAACTTAAAAATAATGGACCTACATCAAACTATAAAACCTTTGCACAGTGAAGGCAACTATCAACAAAATGAAAAGTCAACCTACTGAATAAGAGAAGTTACTTGCAAATGATATATCTGATGAGGGGTTATATGCAAAATATATAAAGAACTCATACAACTCAATAACAAAAACAACAACAACAACAGCAACAACAGCAAAACATAACCCGATTAAAACAAAAGTGGAGAGAAGACTTGAAGAAACTCATTTCCAAAGACACACAGCCAACAAGCACATTAGAAGATGTTCAACATCACTAATCATCATAAAAATGCACATCAAAAACACAATGAGATACCACTTCATACCTGTCAGAATAGCTATTATCAAAAGGACAAGAAATAACAAGTGTTGGCAAAGATATGAGAAAAGGGAACTCTCATGTACTGTTGGTGGATAAACTGGTACAGCTGTTATGAAAACAATATGGTGGGGTACCTGGATGGCTCAGTCGGTTAAGCACCTGACTTCGGCTCAGGTCATGATCTCACCACTCATTAGTTCCAGCCCCGCGTTGGGCTCTGCGCTAAAAGCACAGAGCCTGGAGCCTCCTTCAAGTTCTGTGTCTCCCTCTCTCTCTGCCCCTCCCCCACTCATGCTCTGCCTCTTTGTCTCAAAAATAAACGTTAAAAAAATTAAAAAGAAATAAAAAGAAAACAACATGGGGATTCCTCAAAAAATTAAAGAACAGAACTACCATAATGTCTAGCAATTCCTCTTCTGGGTATTTACCCAAAAAAGGGTGAAAACACTTTTGAAAAGATCTTTATGTTCATTGCAGCATTATTGACAATAACTAAGATAAAGCAGCAGCCTAAGTGTCCATCATTAGATGAAAAGTTATAAAATATGTTATATGTTATACTATATATATGTTATATACTATAAAGATATATATGTATGTATATATATATATTTATTTATGTGATACATATGGTATATGCCTGGTATATATGTATATGTGTATGTTTGTGCGTGTGCATGTGTGTATATGTGTATACACACATGGAATATTAGCCATAAGAAAATGAAAGCTTGTCATTTGTGACAATGTGGATAGACCTAAAGCGTAGTATACTAAATGAAATAAGTCTGACAGAGAAAGACAAATATGATTTCACTTATATGTGGAATTAAAAAAAATAAAACAGAAAACAGAAACAGGCTAAATGATACAGAGAATAAACTAGCAGTTGTCAAAGAGCTGAGAGCCAGGGAAATAGGTGAAATAGGTGAAGGGGACTAAAAGGTATCAACTTACAGTTATAAAATGAATAAGTCAGGGGGATGCAATATTGTGTCAACAAAATCAACTATGAAACTCAAGGGTGAAGTATGTCTTTCATACACATGCTAAAATAAATGGAAACAGATACAACCTGTAGGAAACAAAACTTAGTTAACTGTCTAGTGTTTCATATACCCATAACAGGGTGATAATGACTTTGTAACTTGAATGTGTAATTTTTTATTCTTATAATCACGGGCTTTATGATATTCAGGTTCAGAGGGTTCATACATTCAGTTTTATCTTGTTTTCTCAAACATATCCAGTTCCTCAGAGTTTTCTGCAATAATAAAGAACGCTCACTGTGCATATAAACCAAAATTCTCTAAAAGTACCTTTGAAATTGCAGTTTGTTTACTTTTATGGAAATTGTAATTGACAGGTAGTTCTCACAGTCATATTTTGGCATAGGTTCAAAGTCCTTATTGGTTTCCCAATGAGGGAAAGTCACGCCATAGTTGGCACTATGGAAGAAGCCTCCAGAAGACAAGGAAACAAGAAAAGAGTAAGCTATGGACTCTGTACTTTATCATAGTGTTTATAGCAAAGTAGCAAATATACAGAAGTAGAAACAGTAACAAGTTGATGATACTGTCCCTTTTCTATTCGTAAATTGAATTTAATATGTATGCTCCATGAAGGTTGGAATTAATTTGGTTTAGCTCACTGCTATAAAAAAAATTTCCAGAGAGTTACTTGGCATCTAGAAATCTCTTAAATATCTGTTGAATGGCTGCATGGCTGAATGAATGGGAAATACATACATGATCATGTATGACATCATCGGACAAAACTGAGTTTGTCTCATCTTAAGTGCATACACTAGGATCTTATGATTTGGAAATTTGTGTTTTATTTTAAAATTTAACCAATCCTTTAAAAAAATAATAAACCATTTCAAAGTGAGGTTATCAACTAAATATTAACATAGATAAAATTAGCCTGAAGTGGAATACCTTGTTATTTACCTCCATCAGAGTTAAACAGAATTTGTGTAGCTTTCAAAGATGACTCTATTTAAAAAGCACCATTGTTTTCCAGACTGGGTTTTCTCAGAGACTAAATAGCATTCTTTACAGCTTGGTCAGAGTGGGGAGAGAAGACCACACTCAGGTTAGAATAGTTTAGGAGTAAAGTTCAGAAATAATTTCCTCTGTGACAACACCTCTCTGACTCATTTGGGTAAAGCTGATGAAAGTGGGGACACTGACAGCTCCTGCGGACATGATGATGATGTGCAAATTATGGATGGCAGTGCTTTACTTTTGTAAAGTATTTTAAAGATATTATGCACATTAAAATAACTGCAATTGGCGCCTGGATGGCTCAGTCAGTTAAGCACTGGACTCTTGGTTTTGGCTCAGGTCATGATCTCAGGGTGGTGGAATCAAGCCCGTGTGGAGCCTGCTTGGGATTCTCTCTCCCTCTCCCTCTCCCTCTGTCCAATCCCCATTCATGTTCTTGCTGTCTCTCTGTCTCAATAATGATAATGATAATAATAATAATAATAATAATAATAACTGTAAGCAGATTTGTCAGCATCAAGGGCATGTTTAATTTATGTTAGTCATCTTCCCACTGATACCGTTAACTCATTCTTTACCTGTTCGAGCTTTCATGA